GCTGACTTGTCATATAAGGGGCCGAGAGGGGCTAAAAGTATTAAATCAATAACTCTTTAACGATCAATATTTTGTAATGCATTACTGAAGCAAAAATGTTTATCTCAACAATTTACAACCATATATTATGATATTCTCATCATATGTTACATAATTAGGGGCCATAAGGGGCCAAAACGCTAAATCTTTGACGCTTTATATCTCAAAAGTGGGAAATCTTTTGATAAGCAATATTGAACAAAAGATGTTCAAAATAATGTTCTAAACAATATGCAACCTTTCATTTTTTGCTAAACGTCCCCATTAAGGAGTTGAAGGGCTGGCCCCTAAATATTTCTTTTGCAAATATCTCAGAAACGAAAAAGAATTTCTGACTAGTTGTTGAACAAAAAGTGTTCAAAATCATGAGCGCTTAAAGGTGATATCAAGGAAAAGGGTCTGACCCCTTAAATTAGGGGCCGAGGGGGGCCGAAAGTATACAATCAATAACTCTTTAATGATCAATATTTTGTAATATATTACTGAAGCGAAATAGTTCATCTTCACACTTTTTGTCTAAATAACATGATGTTGATATCATATGCTACGCAATAAGGGGTCTTTAGGGGCCAGATTGCATAATCTTAGGCGCAATATATCTCGAAAAGGAAGAATATTTTGATAAACAGTATTGAGAAAAAGACGTTCAAAATAATATTCTGAACAATATGTACCCTTTCAATTTTTGCTAGACGTCCCAATTTAGGACCTGAAGGGCCGGTCCTTATTATTCCTTTTGCAGATATCCCGAAAACAAAAAAGAATTTCTGAATAGTTGTTGAACAAAAAGTGTTCAAAATCATGAGAGCTTTAAGATGATATCAAGAAAAAGGGGCTTACCTCTCACATTAGGGGCCAAGAAGGGCAAAAATTGTCTTTAATCTATAACCCTTTAATGATCTATATTTTGTTAAACATTACTAATGTAAAATTGTTCGTCTTAACAATTTATTCATATCATTATATTTGGATGAAAATCTCAGTCAAATTCTTATCTCATCTTATCAAAAATCGGACGGAAGACCCACTCGTTGCTCGCAACGAGATCTCATCTAGTTATTATTATTTTTCTTCCTGGGTACTTTTTTGTCCGTGAGTGATCTCCGAAACTACACATCCGATTGAGGTGAAACCTTTTTAGGGTTAATAGGAATGTTATGTAGATTTGCGGAACGAATGTCATTTTGCGCGCACGTGCATGCACGTGCGTGCGCGTGCAATGAGTAAAATGACCAATATACTTGATATAACCATAATTTTCATATCTTTTGATGAAATACTTTGATATTCAGAATATAAGAATATATCAATAGTGTAGACAAGATGAGATGGTCAGAATGCACATGCATGCACATGCGCGCATGCGCATTGATTGAAATAACCAATACAATTGAAATAGACTTAACTTGTACATTTTTTGATGAATTGCTTTGAAACTCAGAATATAAATACATATTAGAAGTGTACACAAGATGACATGATCAGTGCACACATGAATGCACTTGCATGCACGTGCGTGCGCGTGCAATAAGTAAAATGACCAATATACTTGGTATAGCCAAAACTTTCATATCTTTTGATGAAATACTTTGATACTCAGAATATAAGGATATATTAATAGTGTAGACAAGACGACAAGTTCAACATGCACATACATGCACGTGCGCGCATGCGCAATGATTGAAATAACCAATACAATTGAAATAGACTTAACTTGTACATTTTTTGATGAATTGCTTTGAAACTCAGAATAAAAAGATATATTAGAAGTGTAGACAAGATGACATGGTCAGCGCACACATGCATGCACGTGCGTACGCGTGCAATGAGTAAAATTACCAATATACTTGATATAACCATAACTTTTACATTTTTTGATGCAATGCTTTGATACTCAGAATATGTAAACATATTATAAATGTAGACAAGACGACATTGTCAACATGCACATGCATGCACGTGCGCGCGCATGCAAAGCTAAAATGACCAATATACTTAACATAGCTGTAACTTTTATACTTTTTGATGAAATGCTTTGATACTCAAAATATATAGATATATTAATAGTGTTGACAAGATGACACGGTCATCATGGTCATGCATGCACGTGCGCGCGCGAGCAATGCGTAAAATGACAGATATACTTAATATAGCCGATTTTTTTTAATCTTTTGATGAAATTTGAATATAAAGATGTATTAAAAGTGTAGACAAGTTGACATGGTCATTTTGTACATGAATGCCCATGTGCGCGCGTGTAATGCGTAAAAAAAACCATACATACTTGATTGCCTTCTTAAATGAAGCTTACAGGGAATAAGACACCAAAAGGAAGTTGGGGAGCGTTTGGGGAACATCTGTAACGGTCCCCGTTACAATTAATACTAGTTAAAATTAATTTGATATCGCATAACATATCTAAAAATGATTGTATCTCAACACCCAAATTGCCGAGTGTTACATCTCACTACGATGAGAGTTTTACAGTCTAAGAATAAACATAATGATTTGTGTTTTAATGTTTTATTAGGCTGAAGAATTCTTTTTAATTCATGATAAATTTAATGAATAAAGCTGCAGATGGACATAGGTGAACTTCAGCAAATCAGATGATGTGATGTATAATACATATACGAGGTTCAAACGGATGCGATGTAGAGATGTAGGAGTTCTCCCCCAGGACAACTTATATAAGATATTTTGGATCACTCTGTCTTTTCATCAAACAAACAAATAGAAATGCGCTATTCATATGTGTCATATACAATGTATTTATAAAGTTCCCTTCCATACAACGTTGGCCTCACTATTACTTTGCATTTAATACAGTTTAGACATCGTCTCAAGCCACGGTCCGAATCCGCATATAGCTCTCTCCTACACGTGGCTGCTTGATCACAAAAAGTGTCGTAATCTTGAATATTTACGCCTCTATGTTGTGACGTCATGTTCAGCCAATGACAATATTTGTTTCCATCGCATTGAAATCAACAACTGACATCAACAGTATAAAAGAAATGTTTCGTATACTGCGATTGGATATTGAAAGGTCGCGTCAAAGTTCATTATCCGATTATGCTTTACTCGCATTGGTCAATATTTAAATGAGCTGCGAAATATTCTTTTCTCATTCAACCACGGCCAGAATGGGAGAGGATCGTACATTTTGGCCGTGGTTTGCAACGATGCAGTTTAGAAGGAACTGCTTATAATGTTCTCATCAAAGCTCATCAAAGCTCATAGAATATATATTGGGGGGGGGGGGGTGTCTTATTAACTATTTATTATTTTCTGGCAATAATATTGACCTTGAACCCACTATATGTCATTTTGTTTTTATCTTAGTTTCAAGGAAACTGTTCAGATTTATTTTATTAACCTTCATATGACATTGATAGCACTGTTATCTATTTTGCACTCTTTAGAAGAAACTTTTTATGATATTTACATTAAAATCCATTCATAAACATAAATTGGTGAAATTTATTCAACTGTAACATTTTTTTTCTGCCCTTGACATTTCCTACGACCTGAACTTAATTTTTCTCGATATTTTGATAACATTTGATCGAAAGTTACATTTGAATATTTGAAGGTGTTTCAATTTTTTAACCTTGAGCTTCTTTATGACCTTGATTTTCATTTTTTCAATTCCATTAAGATATAATTCAGAAAACCCCATACATCGCTAAATCTCTGTTTGATATATTTTAACTTACATACTTAAGAAATCATTTATACATTTGCAAAATATGGGACAAAAAACTTAAAAAATGAGACTTTATTCAGCTGTTCAATAATTAATGGGATGAATCAATCTCAGGTCTAAGAAGGAAGCTACATTTCTTTTTAATTTGCAATAATATAATTCAACGTATTTGGTTTCTTACAGATTGTTCAGAGAAATATGCCGCATTGTTTTCTAAGGCGAACCTTCCATGGACATGAAAAAAACGACATATTTCTTCGGACAGTCAGTAACAAACCTAATTATTGTTTTTTTTTTTAGTCAAAATCCAGTAAACAGCTAACAAACGTTAACCAGATCCATCCAGTTAAAGATTTTCTCGACTGTTTATTATGAAATTGAACCCTTTAAAACAATACAAACTGAAAACTGTCATACAGATAATTTAATAATATATTACATAGATTCATTTAAATAGATCTATACACTCTTCACACTCTCTGGATTGTCGAAGAAAAATTTCCTTTTCTTCTCAATTATATCCTTAATCCTATATGTGATTGTATTGCAAGATGAGATGTTAGGAACCGTGCTGCGAGATCGGAAAACCTCTTTCAGTGAATTTAAAGTCCGATCCAAACTAGAATGTCGCCTAACATCGGAAGTATGACATTTGTTCGACAATATTCAGCTCAAAATGAAAAAAAAGAAAATCAAAATTATACATGGTAAATTAAATACATATTCAAATCATATTTTTAAAAGTTATCTCTCTTTTCTTTATCCTTAAAAAAATAAAAGAATATACGAGTCATAAACTTTTTATGTTGATTTTATGAACTTGGGAATATTCCTAGATACACCCAGTAAACTTTGTTGGTTTAAACTATGACCCATTTTCTCAACTTGTGTCCTGCTCAACCAAGCGTTTGATTATCTTTGTCGAAATTCCCTGCCCTTTGTTAGCAACCATAGAAGTGGATAAAAATCATTCAAAACAACAGACTGAAATTTGCAAGCAAACATTGAAAGGGACCTGTGTAGAATATTGAGTTATTTTTCAGGTTGGTTTAGGAAATTTGATAAATGCTTACTTAAAAGCAATAAAATGCGTATTTTTATCTAAAGAAAAGATATTTATCAAGCTTTTTCTATTAAAAAAATCTTTTGTTCTTCATTTAAAATTACTAAAGAAAGCCAAATAAATGTAGGTCAAGAAACAAGCATTATATAAACATGTATAAAATACTTATTTTATTCTTCAGATCTTGAAATGGCTACTCCAATCTCCTGGGCACAACATGTCATTACTTGTGACCTCTGCGACAAACCAACCCAGCAGTTCTGTAACAACTGCCAAGTCAATTTATGTGTGGACTGTGTCAGTAAACACGTGGACAAGCAACAGTTTCTTACACATGACATTGTTCCTTATACAAAAAGAAATATTCAGTTGGTGTTTCAAGAATGTGAATTTCACCCCCACCTGAGATGTCAGGCCCATTGTCAACAGTGTGATGTCCCTGTGTGCATCAAGTGTTTTCTTTGCAACCATAAAGGTCATGATGTTGTAGGCTTGTCCAATATAGTTGTGAACAAAAGAAAAGAAATTGAAAAAGAAGTTAAGGAAATTGAAACTGTTATCATTCCAAGGTTCCAGAAGAGAAAAGTTTTTATTAAAGCAAAAGCTTCCAAATGCACTGCTAAATATGAGGAATTAGAACAGGAAACCGAAAAGCACAGGCAATTATGGCACGATAAAATCGACATCATTTTTGATAAACTTGGCTCTTTAATTTCATCTATAAAAGACAATAATCTTGTTGATCTAGAAACACAGCAGAGAAAGCTCATATCGGTGATTTCAGAAATGCAGAAAACACTTATACAAAACAAAGAAATCTTGAAGACCAACAGGGTGTCCAAAATCACCAACTACAAGTCCAACCTACCAAAATACAGAAACATACCTCCTGATATTGATATCAAAATTCCTGCATTGAAAACAAACACCTTCCAAGATAAAGAACTTACTATAGAACTGGGTAAGTACAAGGCTACACTAACACTTGTCACACTCTCCAAAGTCTCTTATGTATGTTTGAGAGAGTTAATAGACAAAGCCAGAGTGATTGTAACCATTCCTACTGAAGTTAAACCTCTACTCAGAGTAGCCTGTGTGGGAGCAGATAAGGTTTGGCTTAGTGGTGAGAAATATACAGCACGATGTGTTGACATACATGGGTCTCTACAGGATACTGTTGAGACTTCGTGCTGTGGTTTGTGTCCTTTTGACATCAAAGTGACCAGAGAAGGAGATCTTGTTTACAGTGATTACGGCAGTAGATGTGTGAACATTGTTGTCGGTCACAACATGGAAGAAACATTGATTAACACACCACGAGACTGGAAACCTAAGGGATTGTGCTGTACCAGATCAGGGGACATCCTAGTTAATATGAATAATGGTACCCAAAATAAAATTTTGCGTTATCAAAGACAGATTGTGGTGCAGGAAATATATGAGGATGAAGATGGAAAACCAATATATAGTAGTGGTAAATGGATGTTGTTTATTTCAGAGAACAACAATGACGACATTTGCGTTTCTGATCTTAATGCTAACTCTGTGGTAGTGGTTGGTAAAACCGGAAGAGTCCGATTCCGATACGACGGTGCACCTGCCTGGAGGAAGCGGCCATTCACTCCTAGACAGATTGTGACAGATTCGATGAGTCACATCATTGTGGCAGATGTAGACAATGACTGTCTCCATATCCTAAGTCAGGATGGACAATTTCTAAGATGTGTAGAAAATCTAGAGACACCGTGTGGATTGAGTGTTGACAGTGAGGGAAGGTTGTGGGTAGGTTTATATGACTCAGGAGTCGTGAAAGTTATTCAGTACATGAAATAAACTATGTATGTGAATGATTTGTGCAGATGTTTGATGTAGAATGACTTCAATTAATGGTCTTAATTGTTTTAAAAAGCATATTTAAAAGTGTGGTGTTAAAGTACATCTGTTTTTATAAGGTAGGGCAATATGATAATTTTTTGTGACCTGTATGCTGTAGATTTTTCCGATCGAGTGTCGAGTTAATCGAAGTTACGAGTAAGACTTCTTTGTATTTCTTAATTTATTATTCAAGTGCTCTTCTTGCATATCGCATAGCTGTGTAGAAAAAAATATATATCAAAACAATGAAAATTAGAAATTTTTTTAACCTTTAAATCAAAGTAGATAAAAATACTTATATGAACTTTTGTTTCACTATCTATTGCTATTAATGTTGCATGTAAACCATATTTTACCGACATTCACAAATCTTCGCATTTTATTGATAAAAAATCGCTGTGACAGCATCGATGATCCAGACACCTCAGTTGTGGAATTTTGAGGTAGTATCATGTCACTACTGAATGGAGTGAGAGTGTGGAGTCTGCTACAGATTTATTGAACTTTTTTATCATCAAATGTTATAAAAACAAGGAAGTGTAGAAATTGATTGACCTCAAGTTTTTGTACTCTTGACTGTAAAATTTCGTCATATTGGTTTCATAGAATGCACCGATGATATGGTGGTGATGATATTTAGCTGAATAAATAACAAAGTTTCAAAATTTCTATAGAAAAAGGAGACTAAATACCATTAAAATCATTGCTGAGTAGAAAATAAGACGTTGTTTTTAGCAATTAATATGGAACGCGAACAGATAAATTTTGTATACGGGGGTATTTAAACTTGGATTTGTATTCAGATTAATAATGTCTAAATACTATAGTAACCGGGACTTGTTTTGACAATGGCGGCGTCTTACGCCGGAATTAATTGTCGATTATAGCATTTCATATAAAAAAAATTATAAAGTTTTAATTAAGAAAATTTATACGTATATAGAAATACATTCTATTGTAGAATGTCGACTAACTGATTTTGTTTCATGGGTTACACGTCCAAGCAATTTTGAAAGCGTTGTCTCTCTTTTGTATATCCTTCATAATTATTTAATCATTTACCCCACGACTTCTCCACAGTCAAGTATTTTGAAGCATATATCGTTGCCCTGCAGTCACTAACTTTAACGTATATACCCTGACTGCACAATTACGCACTTAAAGGCATATATTTTAAGTACTGCAATGTCTCCGCATTCCAGCGGAATATAAATTAATTTTTTTTTTTACAAAATACGTGGGAAAATATATATATTAGTAGATCTTACGTCATAATAGATGGGAAATACAAAATAATTGTGGATGAATGGGCATTTTCGGTTGGATAAACAGTTACAAAATATTAGTAAGGAGCGCAGTATACAATAAAATATCATAAACATTGCAACAACAATTATGTATTTATTTTTTCATTAAATTGTTGAATGTGGGTTTTTTTTTTTTTTTTTTTTTTTTTTTTTTTTTTTTTTTTTTTTAAGTGTACGCAAGTATATATTTTATTTTGCATTGTTTTAAAACTCAATATTTTGATTTTTTTTTTTCATTTACTGGATATCTCCCTGGACTTGCAGGTGTCAGATGCCATGTTATGCAATTTCCCCCATTTCTCCAGTTTTGACTACTTGTTACACAACTTCAACAACATTCCATGACAAATGAATTGGAACGCGAACAGATAAATTTTGTATATGGGGGTATTTAAACTTGGATTTATATTCAGATTAATAATTACTAAATAATATAGTTACCGGACTTGTTTTGACAAAGGCAGCGTCTTACGCCTGAATTAATTGTCGATTACAGCATTTCATATAAAAAATAATAAAGTTTTAATTAAGAAAATTTACACGTATATAGAAATACATTCTATTGTAGAATGTCGACTAACTGGTTTTGAAGATAGTAACAAGTTTTAAATTAAGATATTTCCGACGATAAGTCAGTTAACTGTCCCATCACTTATAGTCCTATACTTATTAGTTCTATTTCCGGGTATGACTTTTTTAACTGAAACACACACATAAAAATGAAAAAAAAATTAGAAACAATCAAAAATGATTTTGTTTCGTGTGTTACTTTTCCAATCAATTTTGAAAGAGTTATCTCTCTTTTGTATATCCTTCATAATTATTTAATCATTTACCCCACTCACCCTACGACCTCTCCACAGTCAAGTATTTTGAAGCATATATACCGTTGCCCCCACAGTCACTAACTTTAATGTTTATATACCTTAACTGCACAAATACGTACAGTTGGCATTTTCGGTTAGACAAACAGTTACAAAATATTAATAAGGAGCGCAGTATACAATAAAATATCATAAACATTGTAACAACAATTATGTAAATAATTTCATTTATGTGTTGAATGTTGTTTATTTTTCTTTTGTTTAAGTGTACGCAAGTAAATATTTTATTTTGTATTGTTTTAAAACTCAATATTTTAAATTTTTTCCATTTGCTGGATATCTTCCTGGCCTTGCAGGTGTCAGATGCCATGTTATGCAATCCCCCCCCCCCCCATTTCTTCAGTTTTGACTACTTATTACACAACTTCAAAAACATTCCATGATCAAACCTTACCCCTATGTATGCTAATAGCCAATCAGCACTGACCATTATGGTTACGTGCTTTGATGCTGTCGGTAACTGACCAGTCAGCGTTGGATCATACTCCCCTCATCTATGCTATCGATAACAGCAAAAAAATTGGCACAATAAAAAGAAAGAATCCTGCGTTTAAATAATCCTTGAATAGTGTGTTGCAACGCATTTTTGCTGTTTTTATATTAGTTAACGCGATTGACTTTCATTATGAGCTGGTTCCGGTTGGGGTACAGTATACACTTATTTCATGACTACAAGGGGAACAGTCAAACTGTTGTCCAGAGGTAATGGGGAAGACTTGGGAAACTGTTGCCCGAGGCCGAAGGCCGGGGGCAACAGTTTCCCAGGTCTTCCCCATTATCGAGGGACAATAGTTTGACTGTTTCCCGAGTTGTCATGAAAAAAGTGTCTTCTTATCTAACCTACTATATAATTTCTTATTTGTATGTTTTTAACGTCCCTCTCGAGAATTTTTCACTCATATGGAGACGCTATAATTTCTTAAAGTAATGATATAAACAGATCGACAAAAGTATTTATTTTTTTCTTAGCATTTTCATGCACTAAAAAATTCATGTATACAAGTATTGTTTAGTAAACAGCATAATCATGGCTTGAAGGTTTGAATACAACACGCTGATTCGGACGTTTATGGCAAAGATCTACAGTGAGTGAAAGGAACCTACACATTCCCAAAATTTCCATCAGAAAAGGTGTTCTTGGCCTTTTCTTTCAAATGATATTGAATTGGATATATATTTACATGGATATCAGGATTACTCATCAAATAATAGTTTCAAATTTATTGCCATGAAAATGCTTCAATTTATACATAATTCAATATTATTGCTGTAAAGTACGGGAAATTGATTATGACGTCATAATGGATCAGTTCAGCCATGCAACAGTTTATTCTGTGACTGGGTAAACAGTTTTGACTGTTTCATGATGTGCAAAAACATTAAAATGAATCAGGAAACAGTTCAAATGCCTAATTATAATTTATATAGTAGGTTAGGTTTTGTAAACAATGACCGCAATGAACGTTTGTGTTATCGGACATTCTTATATCAGAAGACTTAACGAATATTGTGTTCAAACAGGGACGGAAAATTTGGGTTTGGATCCAAAAGAATTTAATGTCACTTACAGATGAAAAGGAGGACTGAAATTGAGTAAATGCGATTCCCGCTCCGAATTTCTGTGTTTTGACACTATCCAGGATGTTGTCTTTTTACAAATCGGCGAGACTGATATTTCCACCAGGGACATTACTTCGGTTGCACAATATCTTCGTGACGGAGTCGGTGTGAAATTATTCATTATAATTCGCCGTATGCAGTTCGTATCATGCAGAGACTTCAATTGCACGGTTGTTGAAACCAATTTACATGTGAAACAGATGAGCGAACCCCTATGTAGTATATCAATTATTGCGGACATAGAGAGTTCTGGAATGATCTGCAATATCTAGGTCCAGATGGTGCCCATCTGCTCTGGAGACAAGCTATGTCACTGATACTGTAGGATTATCAATGGAAATCTTTGCTATCAAATAAATCATGTTTTTGTATTTTGTGAAAGGTCAGCTTTTTGGGAATAAAGTCTCGCTTATAGTGCTCACATGTATGTTACATAAGTGGTTATAATATCCAATATTTTTTATCCCTACAGTGAATCAAATTGAAATCTTGAAATTTTCAATACTTGGTATGTCAAATAAAAATTTTTCTTATTTAGGATTAAATGAATACTTAAAAGCAGAATAACCTTGTCACCATATTTGAATGCTATTTTTAGGTCACCTGAGTCACTCAGGTTACCTATTGCTATCTGTCATCGTTCGTCGTACATCAAATGGTAGTAAACTTTTGAACATTTTCAGCTTCTTCTCTGGAACCACTGAACCAATTTCAACCAATTTTGGCATATTGCGACTATGGTGAAGGGGAACAAAAATTATGAAATGCACGGCCCCTGCCCCCCTGGGGCCTAAGGGGCGGGGCTAAAACCATCAAAATTAATGCAATCTTTAAAAATCTTCTTCTTTACTCCTGGACATCAAGCAGTCAAACTGTTGGCATGATTGTAATAAGCATTGAGCCCTCTACCAAAATTGTGAAATTCATGGCCCCAGGGTCAGGGGTTCTGGCGCTAGTGCAGGGCTCTAATGATTATATAATGAAAATGCATTAATTTTTTAAAAATCTTCTCCCCTGCTCCTAGGTATTTAGCTGATGAACTAAGTACATAGTTATGATGAGGAAGAGTGTCTCTTTCAAAATTGTGAATTTCATGGCCCCAGGGTAAGAGGTTCTGGTGTTAGGGCGGGTCTCTTATGATTATATA